CCCCCCCACGCCTCGCCCCCTCAGCTCCCAGCATTGTTAGGACACTATGAAAACAAACCCATCTGACTGACAAACAATTCAACTTGGGGTCATTTCTTTCCACTTCCTATAAGCCCTCGCCACAGTCGAAGGTAGAACAGGAAATGAGTAAATGCTTCTGTTTTTGGACGTTTAAACATTCGTCTCAGCTGCTGCTTAATTTCAAGTGTACAACGAGGAGCACTCTGTGGACTCAGTTTGAGTTTAATCTGTCATTGACTTTGCTACTTCTCAGACTTTGGAATGATAATTTGGCCAGTAGCACGTCTACTGATCCTCCCTGTAGCACACTTGAAAGGCTACTGCAGTACCAAGTGCCCATTTATCCTCTAATACGGTCATTATCTAAACGTGTGTGTGTGTGTGTGTGGATTCGCCCTCGAGTTCAAAGCACCACGATGTGACCAAAGAGATGTGTGACCAACTCAGTCACGTCTTATTTTCCTTCCCGTTCCTAAAAGCCGTAACTTTGATATTGAGTAAACAAAAACATCTTTAAAGTTAAAGGGACAGTCCTCAGTAAAATTCAGCCTCGAGTGCTGTTTACCCATGCACATTGTTTTGGTGCGAGGCGCCCGGTTCTGGAGATGCCTGCCTCTCTTGAACATAATGAATCTCGATGGAACTCGCCCTGCGGTGCTCAGAGCGCCAGAAATGCATCTGAAAAATGTAGCTGCAGAAATCATGGCTGATGACTCAAAAAAAACACAAAACAAACCATCATATGAGCAGTTTGTTGTAGAAACAGTTTCCACTCGGATACACCCGCCAACCGTATCGCTGTGCAGACAGCTTGAGATGGAGAGCCCTGGGATTGACGGGATGTAAACACTGATGATTCACCCATCAGCTGAGCTGTAATATCAGTCAGCTGTGTGCTTTCTGTGCTTGATGGATGGAGTTGAGTGGAAAGACAGTAGTTCCTACATAAACCTCTCACAACAAGGTTTGCAGACTGTTAGCTGTCAATTAAGGGTGTCGACCCCCCCACCAACTCTGATCCTAAACGTTACAGCAGAGAGAGCCTGGTACTAAATACAGTTTGGCCTCTATCAGTAGTTTTGGCTCTGCTGCTGCTGGGGGTAAGTCGAAATTTTAGGGTTTATTTTAGTTTCATAGTATTTTACAGCTCATTTAAATGGATAATTGAGTTGGTCAAAGTTCAGCATCTGCTAGGCTTCATCCAATAATTTGAATCATTAAACTGTGTTTGCACTGTTGGACCACTTTTAATGGACCATCTGACCAACATTATTACTCTGTGTGGTATAAACTATCCAAGACATCAGGGCTTCAGCTTTGGTGAGTGAAATTCAGTTTTTATTATCACTAACATACAACTTCTGCCTCAGAAAATAAACATGGGGTGGCTGAAACACTGTTGTATCCTCACACCAAAGCAAAAGTAAGATTTGAATACCCCAAGAATTATGTGAACCCCTGTGAGCAACCACTTGGTGACAGCGGCTGTATCCAAATTCAGGGTCTGCAGCCTTAAAGGCCGCATTTTAAGGCCGATTACGTCACA